TTCGCGACATGTGTTACCGACCGAATGTGTTCGATCGTGCGCATGGTAAACTGCGCCTGCTTAAAGTTCACGTTAGTGCTTCACGTTTTAATTCGAAACCACGGGACTAAGCTACCGATCCGCATTTTTAACGTTTCTCGCGATTCGCCCGAGAGAATCCCAGGCCACTCTTTGGGAGTCTGTAATTGGACGACGCGGAGAGAGCCGAAGTGTGGCGAAAACGCACGAACCTCGTACCGAGGCCGGAGTCGTTTAACTCGCAGCATTCTCGCGACGCGGAACGAAAAGCCAAATTTATTTTGCGAGCTTTGTTTACGCAAGGTGTTTGTTCGCTCAAATCTTTTGGCAGGTGAATTATGTGATTAAATCAGGAATTATAATATATCATTTTTTTCTTTTTAAATATACGATACGTGTTTTTTTTATGCGAATATATTTGAATCTACTTATTATATATAAATTATTTGGAATTAACGTGCATTATGAAAAAAATTAAATAGGTATAAGATTAGAAGAAAAAGAAATGTTAGTTTTTTTCGATGGTATAAATAATTACAGAAATTTAAAATTTAGTTATTTTCGTTAAAAATATCGTGGTTTTTCGTTAACTGAACGTATTTTAAGATTATTGTTCGATAAAGAATTCTATAGAATTCTATAGAATATGTTTTCAAAATTATAGTACAACATTTCTATATATAATGTAGAATTTTCAATAATTTTTCAACATACAGAGATATGAAATTTTACATATGAAATTTTATTCTACGAAATCGCAATAATTTCTGAAACATTCTCGTTTCGCTTCGAATTAATACGCATCAGTTTTAATTTTTCTCCGGATATGAACAATTATCGAGACGATTGAACGTTCCAAGATAATTAATACGATAAATGTAACGATCATACAAGCATGCTGGCGTAAAAAAAATATATATGTGCACCGTTTTCATCGGAGGATAAAATATTTGTCGAAAAGGACTCGGTACGCGAAATAACGAGCGGAACGTTTCTTTCGCTCTATGAGAGAGCACCATTACGAGGAATTACGCGGTTCGGAGAAACAGAACGATGCGATCGATCCGGACAATGCCTACAGAGTCGTTAATCTCCTTCCAGGAATCGTAGTGGGTCATACGCTGGGACAAAGTTTATATTTACACGTTGCCTCGACTCGTATAATATAATCGCTCACGAAGAAAATTTTTAAAAGCAACTTAATTCTCTGTAATTTTATGTGATTGTTGAATTATGTACACACATCTTTGACGGAGAGTGAGAGAAATTATTTTTTAAAAAATAATTTAATAATTTCTTTGCACAGTATTTTAAATATTTTGTTATTTATTAAGTTTGCTATTTATCCATCGGTTATTAGATATTAATTTCTAAGCTCGTAAGAGTGTTTGACATTTTCATTTTATTTATCTATATTTTAAAATCGATTTACTACTCACTACGATTATTGCATCTTATTAGTTTCTCATTATACTAAATACCGATGATTTGTTTGTTTGTAATAATTATCATAATTCTCTTAATGTCTCTAATGCCTCTACATGCAGTTATAAAATATTTTGAAAGATTTTAGAATCGTAATGGATGAAAATAATACATACAGATAGATTTGCACTTCTTCGTATCGTTCGTGATTAAATAGTAGTCTTGGAATGTTAATTCTCTCGCTTTACACGATCGAACAGAGATAATCGTGTTCTCGATTCCAGAAATTCCGTGGCTAATTTTCATCGCTGCTGAAATTTATCAGAGCACGAAGGCACGGTCGAGCGGACCGAGTGTCACAGCATGGTGCAATTTCCACATTGCATCGGAGAGATTTCAATGGAATCTTGCCGAATCATTTATTATTCCTAGTCCTTTACCCGCGTGAAAATTTCCCAATCAAATCTTATTTGCAAAGAGAATTACTTCATTATCCGCTTGAAAAAACTTTAATGTTTAACTTGTTTATACATATCCTTAAAAAAATATCGTACGTTCACTAATTACATAAGAATTTTTTAACCTATGATTACTAAAAAAAATGAGAATCAAATGGACGCAATGACTCGTTGGAAATACAGCACACGTAAACAAAATTAATTCGCTCGATGAATATTCTTCGCCAAAACTTCAAAAACACTAAAGAAAGAATTCCAAAAATAAATAAATAAACAAATAAACAAATAAAAATATTCGTACAGCAAATACACGTGGTGATATCCGAGGGCGCCACTGAACAGAGAGAGTGACAAGAAACAACACCTCTACTCCACCAGAGTTACATTTTCTCCTCTTCCCTCTCTCCACCACACTCCAAGCCAGAGAAACCTTTCGATCCCCTTTATAATCTAATCTCTCCTCCGTTCCTTTCCTTGCACAACCTCACCTTTGCCATTTCCCTCTTCCCTGCGCCGCGCCCACGTCGAATGCAGATGCGCCAACGGACACGAGACAACCATCCATCCCTTCTTCTACGTCCATAATTTCTCCGCATACGTCTTCGTATTGTCTTCGTTCCAAACTCAAAGAAAATACATTAATTTATATATTTCATACTTCGTATAATTATACACGAATTTCCATTCTCGAAGAAAAATATCGATCGTTCTATTGCGATCCACCGAATCCCGAACAACATTTCTCTCAACCGAAAGGAGAAGGCATCGTAATTCCCACAGCCTCGCCTCGCCCCCCTCGCCATCTTCCTTCCATCGTCCCTTCCTCCGGTGAGGGAGGGGGAAGAAGGAAGAAGAATCAGGGGTAGAGGCAAACGACTGTTTCGACATAGCTCGATCGTCTCTCTCATACACTCTCTCTCTCTTCTTCTCGTCAACACACCTCTCCATCTCCCTCCCTCTCCCTCTCCTCCATCCATCCATCCACATTCGTGGATCAGAGGTCCGTCCGCGTCTCGCAGAACCGGGGCGCGGCTCCACGCACCCGCAGA